GAAACTCCGTCTCAAAAAAAAAAAGAAAAAAAAAAAGAATTATGATCTGCTTAACTCAGGAACTCTTATAAGTAAATTTAATTTGTCCCAAATATTATTACTTATTTAATATGGGAGGGGAAAATACGCTAGAATGCATAGACTAAATAACTATAGCAACAACAGCAGCAATGGTTGGTAAAATAAGTTCATTTCTCACAAACAGTCTGGGGAGCAGTAGTCCAAGGCACACAGGCTGTGAAATATTCAGGAACTCCAAGTCCTCCATCTCATTGCTCTGTTATCTTAGGGTGTTGTCTTTGCATGATCAAAGATGGCTAACTAGTTTCAACCATGGTTTCAGAGCAGATCATAGGACAGAGAGTAGAAGGCAGGAGGCTTCATCTTTAAGGAGATGAGCTGGAAGTTAAGCAATTCTGCTTACATCCCATTGACCTAAACATAATCACAGGCTCACATTTAGTTCCAAGGTAGCTGGGAGATATAGCCCAAAGTTGGTTGGCCATGGGCCCAGCAAAAACTCAGAGGAAATAAAATGGGAAGTGGAGAATGGCAATTAGCAGACTCTAGCAGATAAGATCCAGAAGAAACAGGTCCTTCTTCATAAAACACATTTTTTGGATAGGATTCCATTACTTGAATTTTTATAGAAAATGAAACAATGCTATGTGGCAATAAAGACATTCTTAGGTTACTTTATTTTTGTAAGAGATTTCATAGATTCAGAAAAAATCCTATTACTTACTATTCTGACTTTTTGGTAAAATAACCCACCTTTTTATCTTTATAATTCAGAGAACTGGTAATACCACTGGATACTAAACTAGTGATTATTTCCATGAATTGTCGAAATGCATTCATTCTCTAGTAAAGACAAATAATGAACCATTATACCTGTATTACTTATCTATTGCCATGTAACAAATTACTACAAAATTTAGGAGCTTAAAACAAACACTATCTCACCCAGTTTCTGAGGTCAAGAATTTCAGAGCTTGTCTGGGTAGTTCTGGCCACAGTTTCTCCTGAGGTTGTAGTTAAGTTTTGACCAAGGCTGGAGTTGTCTGAAAGCCTGATTGGGCTGGAGGATTCGCTTCAAAGCTGACTCACATGGTTGCTGGAGGAAGGCCCCAGTTTCTTACCAAGGGAACCTCTCTGTAAGTCTGACACAGAGCATGAGCGACCCATGAGACAGGGAATATAGACAGCAATCAAAATGCCAAAAGTGTCTCTTATAACCTAATCTCAGAAGTGGGCCAGGTGAGGTGGCTCACACCTATAATCCCAGCACTTTGGGAGGTGGAGGTGGGTGGATCATCTGAGGTTAGGAGTTCGAGACCAGCCTGACCCACATGGAGAAACCCCATTTCTACTAAAAATACAAAATTAGTCAGGCATGTTGGGGCATGCCTGTAATCCCAGCTACTTGGGAGGCTGAGGCAGGAGAATCACTGAACCCAAGAGCTGGAGGTTGTGGTGAGCTGAGATCTCACCATTGCATTCCAGCCTGGGCAACAAGAGCAAAACTCCATCTACAAAAATAAAAAGAAAGTGAAATACATAATACCGTCACTTTTACTCTATTCTACTGGTCATTCAGACCAACCCTGTGAAAAGGTGGAGGTGATTGATTATATGAGTGTGAATACCAGGAAGTGGGAATCACAGGGTTGGGGGCAGAGACAGGGAACCTTAGAAGATACTTACCACAATACCTAACCTTATATTGGAAAAAACAAAACTCCATAAGACCTATCAATCTATGAAGTTTAAAAACTATTTTAAAAATTCCATCTAGTACAATTATTAGCCCTAAAGTTTGTCAAGAGTAAACAAACTTGAGGCATTGACTGCACAAGAAAAAAGGTTGACTCCTTTGCATAAGATTAATTTTATTAATATCATTAGGTCTCAAAAGCATTGAATCTTTCAGGTATTATTTGATTAAAATGATGTCTCTTTAGAATTCTTCACGTAGTCAGAAATGGCTTCCTTAGAATAAACATTCTATCAGCTCTGGTTTGGTTTCTTGAAAAGGTTCAGAAGTTAATGTCAGCAAGTAAAGATCCTTTGGGGCCGGGCGCGGTGGCTCACGCCTGTAATCCCAGCACTTTGGGAGGCTGAGGCTGGTGGATCACGAGGTCAAGAGATCGAGACCATCCTGGTCAACATGGTGAAACCCCGTCTCTACTAAAACTACAAAACATTAGCTGGGCATGGTGGCGCGTGCCTGTAGTCC